CAATGTTTTCGCTGCAAGATCATTGTTATACAGTTCAGGAACAATTTGTGCGTGAAGAAATGGCCCTTGTGGTCTCAGTGAATAATTCTTCTAGAACATGAAATTAAGGGGATGGTGCTGTTCAAGGTTTGTTACTGTAGTGCCTGCAGGTAATTAGTTTGGTCCCAGATTACCTTTGAGTTGTTTTTGCAAAGGTTGGTAAGATTAGTATGGTGTGTGAAATAAGTGATGTTTCAGTTTGAGAACAGACCTTCTAGACTTTGACTACGTGACTGCTACTGATACTTCCTAGGACTGCCTGCCCGGAGCAAGTGAGCCTGTTGGCCCTGCTCCAGCTCATGGAGCTGTAGCATTCCCCTGCAAAGCATGGGCAGACTTTTCCCTCTGGAAGAATGTGACAGAGTATATTTGGGAAACCACGGGCAAGAACTTGTCCCCAGAACATTATCATGCAGCTAATAATTAATTCTGCTCATGCTGTTCTGGCGTACATACCATACAGAAGCAGGGGAAAAGATAAGCATTCTGCTTGGAGAATTCTTAGGTATCTTTTTCTCATTCAAAACTCAGAGCATCTGACATTGTGCCTGCAGTGGGGCAAACAGGTAATTAGGAGCAATTGGTACTGGTAGTTCACATTGGCGTGTGAGAAAAGTTACGTTTGACACTACATAATGTCAGTGTATATGTAGCATATTTGTGAAATATGTGATGATTGCTGCTGTGTAAAGCCGCATAGCACTTTAACAATCAATTTATTTTTCCTTTTCCAAGTGCATTTTGACCAAGAAGGCCAATATGTAAAAAATAATTGAAAACAAACTTTAAAAGAACATTGTTTGTCCCATTTTTAAATAATTGGTGAAAACAAAGAACACTCAGATGTGAAGAACAGTGGAATAAAATTTCAACATCTGATTACACTTATTTTATCGATAATAAAACTAAACATTGGATAAAAGCAACTGTATATTTGAATTGTCCATGTTTCATAGGGCAGGAATGGGGTAGGGAAGGAAGGGAGTTGGGCACAACTTGCCCTTCCAGGCTAGGAATTAGTTTTTTCTCTATCTGCTCCAGACTTCTCTACTTGTGTTGGAGCACAGTATGGACAGCATTGAGGCTTGATATTCATGGGATTGTAGTGGGGGTGCAGCTTCTCACATGGCTTTAAGTTCTTTGTCAATCTCCTTTGATGTGTCAGGATTATTAATGAATTAGTCTCGTTAGGCTCTCTGCCACTGAGAAAATGAAGTAACAGTAATTAGAGGTTGCCTGTCTTTTGCTAAAGGTCTTGCACGACTTCTTCTCTAAGCTTTTTCTTTATCCCATTTCTTGGTATCCTGATTCATCTAATAGAAGGATGTTGCCAAAAAGAGTAAAAATATGGCATTTTAATGAGAGGGGGGAAAAAAGAAAGGCTGTTGGCATTCCAGAGTGCTTGTTTACTCTACTTCCATTTGCTGGTCTGTTCTTAAGCTTTCAATAGTTGGGTTTGCCACTTCACATACCTACTGGTAAGAACTGTATACAAAATATATTTCTATGTGCACAGCGGATCTCAGCAGAGAAATTTTCTCATAAAGGTAGTAGTACAACTATTAGCTTATCGAAATAAAATAAACTTTTAAATAGAAAAACTAACAGAAGCCATGTATTATGTAGGGAATTAATTTTACAAGTTAGCGGTGGGTTCTGTTAATATATGCAAAGAGAAAAGCAATGGGAGTGAGTAAAGGAAATAGAACTTCTGTGGCTTGCTATCATTGTAATTGTAGCAACCTAGATCACTGCATAAATAGTCTGAGATAATACAGAAATCATCTCAGTAGAAGTGCAAGTTGCTCTGTGCTTACTGAGATGATGATGGTGATATGTCTGTTAGCTGCTGGCAGCCTCAAAAGCTGTCTTATGCAGAATTCTTATGTACATGGGCCTCAGCTTAACCTTGGACATCTGAGTTGCTCATTAAGTACCTTCAGGTTCTGGACAGTGCATAAGGGTGCAGAGGAATTACTGTGTTTGTAGTGACTGAGAGAAGAGAGAAGTGTAGAAGGGGGAGAATGTGCTACTACATCATATATGAAGCTTTTTTTTGTGCTGCTTTTCGTCAGGTTGTCTAGAGCTCTAGTCAAGTGCAAGATATCCAGTGAATAAGCTTTTAGATAATGAGGTTTAGATGTGTGTATTGTCTGAACTGATGAAGTGAAACGATGGAGGAGTCATGTATTCTTCATGATCCTGAATCTAGTCAAACCATTTAGAGAGAGACTTTAGATTCTAATTAATTTATTTGTAGTTTTCTGATACCCCAATGAAGACTGAATGAAAGGCTGTTCAAAGTGGCTTACAGAATATATTGCCCTCCTCCCCCCGCCCTTTTTTTTTTCATGTCTTAGGGTCTTGACTCTGTAAGTTAATAAGCCAGAGTTTTAAGAGGAATGCTTTCATGTGATTAAATTTATTTATTGCCTATTGCTGATTTTGATAAAAGTACCAAGGATGCTTTTTAATTAATGGGAGATTTTGTAGTATCTTCTAAATGCTAACTATGAGATCTCATTCCTGATTGTTGTTCATTGTTTGTGTAGTATTTTTGAGACCTCTCTGAAAGTTTATCTTAAAGTTAGTGTAAAAACATCGGACTTGCGTGTCATACGTGTATTTCTTGCACTTCAACACTGAAAATACTTGGGATGGGTGGGAACCTGGTTAAATGTAAGCTGTTCTTTAAATAATTGTTTTCTGCAGCCATTGCAGATTATTCTGTTTATCACTTCTAGTTTTTTACCTGTAAAAAATGGTCTCACTGCTTTGAGTATAGGTTTCTGGCTCTGTGAAGAAGATTATTTTAAGGTGGTGTTTTTAGATTAAAATAAAAACTAAACTGCATTTTTTTGATCATACAATCTTCCTGCCTACTGCCTTTTTAGGTCAAATATTTAATTCAGAGGTTTGTAATTGCATTTCTAAATAGTGAATGAATGGACTATTTGTAATTGTTGATTGCTACCATTCTCTTCAAAAACATGGTCCCATTTAGGCTGTTGTGTAATTTTTAGTCTGAAGCCAGCAATTCTCCATGAGTAAGCAGTCTTTCAAGCTCTGTATTGGTTAGCAGAAATGTAGATTTTTTTTTTATTGTTATTATTGCTCACTTAATTCCAAGTTACCATGAACTTTTCAGTCCTTATTTGACTGCAAACAGTCAAAATATTTGAATTTGAGTGAGTTGGTTATTATAATCAGGTTTTTTGTTAGACTAAAATCTAGTAAACAATATTTTGGCTGTGGTAAGTTTCACTGAATGGTGGTTTAATGTTTTTGATCATTGTAAAGTAGTTTGAGGTTTCTGAAAGTATAAGCTTTCCTGATTTATTTTTTTGCTCTAATTTCAATAGCTCTGTCTGTGTTTTAGTGTGGCAGCATCTGTAATAAAGTAGACAGAACTTACACAAAGGTAGTTCTGCTTGGAATGCAGAAGTTTTGTACTGCTGGAGTTTTCTGCAGTAGAATTTAACAGTAAAACAGGAAGCAGTGGGAAGGGGTTCTCCAGTGAGTAGATCCGGATCCTTTTGTACGTTAGCCCATGATTGTGCTGGTATAATGAACAAGTTTTGTTTTTATTTATATTTTACTTCTTGAAAAATTGTCAGAATTAAATAAAACTTTTTTGTCATTTTTAATGAGTTTGAAGGTCAAGAAACTTTGTCATGAATAGGCTGGATATGTAGTTTAAGATGGTAATTTATGATTATCTTCAAAGGAAATAATCTCAATAAGTTACCATTTTTACATTACAAAGGTAAATGTTTTGTGGATTTTTCTGACATGTTATTGATGAAATGCAGGGTTATTGTGATAGGATATGGCTTCGTCATGGACTGTGGAAAAGTGTGGCTAAGTCTTATCTTTCTGTGCACCACTGTTTCATAGATACCATACAAAAATATTACCTTAAAGGTGACCTTGTGAGGATTAGAAGACTGTGCTCCTTATTTTTTGTATGCATGATTTCTGATTTCCTGTCATTGTTCAAAATGTTACAAAACAGCAGTGCAGGTCTTATTTTTTCCAGAGAAAGATGGTATGTATGTGGCAGTATGTACATGCTTAGAGAGAAGTACTTTCTAGTGCCATTAAACCTTTTGGCATAGAGCTCACATTAAGCAGTAACTGTTAGCAGTATTTGTAGGATTCCCCATGAGAACATCCAGATGGATCTTTTCAGACAGGGTCCTAGGATCATCAGGATTCTTGATCTCTTTGGAAATAGCTAATGAGCTTCGTGGCTTCTGTTGATAATAGTATTGCAATATTTGTCCTGTGCATGTTTCCTGCCCCCGCCCGCCCAAGACTACTTCACTTGAAGAATTATTTTAGTTCTTTGTGGCTGTGAAGAGAACAGAAGCTGTCTGGAATGTCACTTTGCTTTATGCCCCTTGCAAACTTCAGTCATACTTAAGATTCTGTTAGGAGCAACAAGCACATAGCTGCTTCTGAAAACATCAGTGTACAGAAACAGTCTCATCAGTGCTGGCTTGAATGTGTGCTTGTTTTGGTTTGATGTTCTATGACTAGCGCAAAGAGAACAAGAGCATTAAATATTAGCAACAAAAGTAAGATGGTGTTGACATTTGAAGAAATAATTTGTGGTTCAGGCGGAAGGTCACTGAGCTGGTAGTATTGCTTAGCCTACCATGGCTCATGCTACTGCTGCCTTAGACTTTTTGATAGCTAACAGCTGTTCCAGCTGTGTTGCTTGAGGATCCTCAGTTCCACGTAGGACTTAGTTGGACATGCATTTCTTAAGCAGCCTTCTGGTGTTCACTACAGTTTGCTTTAAGCCAGATGTGGCTGTTTGTGTGCTTATGGGATGAATCAGGTTGGTGTCTGATGTGTTCGGGAGACATTTTTCAGATGGGTCGTTTCTCCAGTCTGGTGCAGTGGTTGGCTCCATAAATGTTTCTGCCAAAAGAGCACAGAGGATGTTCCCCTAGACTTGGAAAGGGAAGGAGACGGAATACTTAACTGCTTAGAGTAGTAGGAGTGTCAAATGTCTACTGTGACTTTATTCCTCTGAGACACAAATAAGCAATAATACTCCGAGTAAAGAGCACTTGCACTCTTACTGCAGTGAAACAAAACACTTCTGTCACTTTCTTTTGGGAATTTAAATAGAAGGCAGAGATGCTGGAAGAAGCAGATTCAGAAAGCTGAATGCATTACTGAGGCTATTGTTACTCTCAAAAGTCTCCCAGTACAAAAGTGTTTCTTTGGAATAGCCTTTTGGTGGCTAAGGTTGCGTGTTGACAGCCTCTGGTTTTGACAAGGAGGGGAACTTCCCTGGCATCAACAATTAAAGGAATATGTGATGAGAAAGGTTCAGTTTCTGTTGCAGACAAGAGTCAAAGATAGGTGGACAAAGTAGTGGTATCTGTATATTGCTGTATACCATCAATGCAACTGTAGGGTTTTTTTTTTTTAATAGGTTTAAATATCTCCTGTGTTTTATTCCTCTACTTGTCAGAAAATTATCATGACTTTTTTCTTCACAGCTCAGTTGTCATCACACTGCAACATCTTTTGTATGTGAGATATTTACATGTACTGGATTTCTGCAGAAAAATAAATTCTTATGTTGAGAAATAACCTGGATGTTAAAAAAAAATGAAAAGAAAAAAAGAAAAAAAAAAAAAAAGAAAACCATGCATATATATGTACAGCTACAGGGAAGACATAGGCCTCACTAAGCAGAGTTTAGCTGATGGCTATATATTGGATTTGTTTAGTTTATGTAACATAAACCAGCAGTCTGTAAAACTCTCATGCTTAAACATTGGTAAAACATTTTTTTTCAGTTAAGATACACTGATAATTGTGCTGTGAAAGTAATACTATGTATGCTTTTGCCGACTACAATTCGGGCTATTCTGCAAGCTGTAAGAGCTCTATTCTAATTCATAATGAAGCTGTCAAGCAGTATTCTTAATGTTACGAAACAGTTTTTCAGTTACTGCTCTTTTGCTTTTCCCACTGGGTTATTAGTCTAAGCAGTAAATGGCTTCTATTAATTTGGTTTTGCTCTTAAAAAGAAAGTTCTGCTTTTTTTTTTTTTTTTCTTGATGCATGTCTGTTTTTATTTCTAGGCCTTTCTTAAAACTTTCCATGTCTAAATGGACTCCTGAATGTAATATAGTCTATACTTTAAAAGCGGATATGAAGAGTGAAGTTCCTTCTGATGCACCAAAGAGACAGGAGTGTCTGAAGGGGATCCTCTTGAACCCTGCGCCTATTGGGGCAGCCAAAACCTTCCCTGCAGAAGTTGAGATGATTGCCAGTAAAGTAGGGAATGAGTTCTCTCACTTATGTGGTGACTCTCAAAAGCAGAAGGACATGAATGGCAACCGTACAGACCAAGACAAAAGTATTATGGTGCGAAAAAAACGCAAGAGCCAGCAGGCTGGTCCATCGTATACTCAGAATTGTCCTGATAAAGAAAACCAAGGAATTTTAGGATTAAGACAGCATATAGAAACGCAGAGTGAAGACAATGATTCTTCTTTTAGTGACTGTATCTCTTCACCTTCATCTAGCCTACATTTTGGAGACTCCGACACAGTAACATCAGAAGAAGAAAAAGATGTTCCTGTTAGGCACCCTCAGGCAGTGTTGAATACTACAAGTAGAACTCATAGTGCAAGGTCACAAAAGTGGCCTCGGACTGAGGCAGATTCTGTACCTGGATTATTAATGAAAAGACCCTGTTTTCACAGCAGTTCACTGAGAAGACTTCCATATAGGAAGAGATTTGTGAAAACTAGTTCCTCGCAGCGGACCCAAAACCAAAAAGAACGAATTTTAATGCAGAGGAAAAAACGAGAAGTGTTAGCTCGAAGAAAGTATGCTTTACTACCCAGCTCTAGCAGTTCCAGTGAGAATGATCTCAGTAGTGAATCTTCTTCCAGTTCCTCTACTGAAGGAGAGGAAGACTTATTTGTATCACCTGGTGAAAATCACCAGAACAATACAACTGTTCCTTCAGGTAAAACTAAATTCCGGAGATATTTCTGTTAATGAGTTCCACTGTGTACGATATGTTTTTTTTATAGGTGCTTCAGGGCATTTGTCTGTTTTTGAAGACTTGCATTGAGAACAGACTTACTGATCACGATAGTAATATGAGCATTATGCTATAATTTTTTGATGGGAAAAGTACATTACCGAACTTTCGATATAATTAATCAGGTGTAAAACCCTTTAATGTAAAAGATGGAAGTTAATGGTTTTAATCTACTGGCAGGTTGATGAATGCACTAAGTCATATGCTGTGGATTTGCTTCATTTTTAGCTGTTAAATTGTGTTAAAGGTGTTAACTATTACAACTTCTTGAATAGCTCAAGATGAGAAAATTCAAACCGGAAGGATTATTGCACATATGTGCTTAATGCATATTTGTGGGTACAGAAATGTAATGTTTTAAAGTTTAAAATTATTCTTCTGACACACACATAGCGAATAATTAAATACTTTAATTAAAAAAAAAACATTTGGAAAGCTGTTGTGTTAACATTTCCTGTTTCAAGGTTAATTGCCTTCCCATTTACAGAGAAGGGTGGGTTTTCTTGTAACTGTAAGATCATGTAAGACCATTAACACAGCTCCTTCTACATGCAAGCACGTATACAGTAGCATGTAACAGTGAAGTTACTAAATGCATGGCAGAAATGTTTTAGAGCTACTCGAGCAAAATCTACCCCAAATTAATGTGTTTAGAGAGTTTTCACCTACTGTCCTTTTATTTTTTGCCATAAGTTTAATTAACTCCATTCCTGCGTTTGAAGTGCATATCTCATTCAATGGCCTTACTTTTATATTACTTGAAAAGCATGTTTAATTCATTTATGAAGTGATATTTATTCTCCTGTCACAAATTAAAAATTCACTAGCTCTGCACCAGTTAATTTTAAATGAAATACTGGCACAAGTTACACAAGTTGTAACTGAAATAAGGTTTGCTTTAAAGATTGTGTGTTGTGATGGTTGTGCTTCAGGACTAAGACATGCTGTGAAGAGTGATGTAATCCTGGCTTGTAACTTTTCGTGTGAATAATAAGGGTGTTTTTACGTTTGTGTGTTTGTGGTTCTTTTTTTCCTCAGTGGAAGTATGGGTTGATGGGAAGGTTTTGAACGCAATTCCTTAGTATCTTTGATACAAATATGTAGTATGTTCAACTTTTTATTCTACAAGTCTCCTATTTTTAGTGAAAGTGAGGTAAATGTGCTTAACCCTTTATACAGCTTTCTGCTGTTACATAAGATAGTTCTAGTTATGGAGCTGACTGGGACAAAAATGGGGCTAGTTGAGAAAGTAGCTATGCCTTTTCTCCTTATGGTGAGCAAGCAGGATGGTGTGCCCATATGAGGAAAGGTTTGTATTGTAAGTAATGCTCTCATAGTCCTTAATGTTAGAGATTTGTCCTGGACCCCAGCCCCACGAGTGGCACACGTGTTCGCGTGCGTATGTTGAAAAGAAATAATATGTTGAAGCACAAATAGAACTGAGAATGAGGCCTGTAGCATGTATATAAAATCATAAGAGGATAGACTGGGAGGAGAACAAAAGAGAAAACGGAAAAGAAAATGCAATTTTAAGTATGAAAATAACTGAATTGGTTTAAAAAAAAAAAGTTATCTTGGGGATGACTATAGCTTTCTGTGCTGGTTGGTCTGTTGCCTGCTTAATAGCAATTTATATTATGGATATGTGGCAAAAGTGTTCATTGCTCTAAATACTGGTGTCTGTAGATTCAGTGCATTTAATTAGTATGCACTATTAAGGAAAAGCTTTCTTTTTGATTATTGTAGGAAATGAAAATGGCTCTTCTTTCACCAAAAAGTGTTTAGTAGGTTAGTTCTTGTAGTTAATAAAGCTTTTAGGATTACTAAATGGTATGTTTGGTGGCAGCGGGGAATGTGTACAGGTTTTTTTTCTCCCTTGTGTCTGCTTCAACAATTCTTCTGGTGCAACTTCCTCACTTTGGGAGTGAGAGATGATTGAGCAGGTACCACATTCTGATACAGAGGAATAGATTTGATTGTTTTACCAAGGGTTTGCTGTAAAAGACAATTGCCTTTTACAATGAAATGTGGGATGACCAGATGAGCCTTGCACAGGAGAGGGAGGGGCTTTGCAGACATAGTGACAATGTAAAAACTACTCTGTGTAGTTTAGTGATCTAGGTGTGGTTTTGGAGTTAAAATGTTGTGAGGGAATATATAATCTAAGATGAAAGTTGACCAGTAAATCTTAATTGAAATACTGGGTTACAGGCTAGAAAGTGACTGCAAGCAGCAAATCTGAACTGGGGAACACAGAGTGTGATTCACAGATTGTAACACTTTAATCCTTAGAGAATCTGAGTACAGACCTGTAGAGATGATCCTCATATTTAGATTTTTTTTTTTTTTTTTTAAGTGGCAGGACATCAACTTTGTTACTGAAAATAGATCTTTTGCCACATTGTAATGAATCTTCTCTGATCCTTAGATACTTGGTTTTCAACATGGATATGAGAGGCCTGAGAATATCATCTGGACACAGCTGAATTTTAGGCAGAATTTAGAACAAGTTAAACTTGGAACAAGTTTGTAGCTTTACGTGGTGTGAGTTGGCAGTAACACTGAACTCCAGGAAATGAGAAAATGTCGATACAAAAAAGAAGTTGGGTGGAATTTTGCATAGTCATAAAACTGACCTAACAGTGCTTAAAATTCCTTTGGGTCTGACATATTACTTTGTATCTTTGAACAGCAAGTACTAGACAGGCCTTGCCTCTTTTTATTGGATATACTGCATCTGGCAAGTCAGGTTTTGTTTAGAGCAGCTTGAAGATAACTATTAGAAAAGATTGAGACTGAATTCATTCGTTCTGTCCTCTTGATTCCACTAAGGACCTGTCTTCCGAGAATATTGAATATGGACATATGATTTTTCTGAAAGACAGAGGCTATGAAAATGTTAATCTGAATTGGTGCGTGGTGTGTGCCTGGTTTTACAGGTTTCCATTAACACTGGCAAATAAATATATATTGGGTGGGAATTAGCTGTCAGGCTAGTTAATTATTTTTCCTTTATCTTATCCCTCCCTAAACAAAAGCATTCTTTGCAATCTCATCAGTAAATGATGCAGTTCATAATTTAGAAGTTGTATCTCAATAGCATTAGTAGGCAAGGAAGTGAATGCTTATCTTCACACTGCCTGTAATTAGGGAAAGGTTGAGGGAAGAACTGGGAAGGGAGGAAAGAAACACACAGCTTTATGAGCAATAGCCATATTACATTCTGCCTATACCTATTTTAAAAAATATGCAGAGTGAAAAAAGCTAACATGGAGGTCACTTTGGTGGTTCCCTGTAGCATCTATAGCTTTCTCTGCTGGTAAGGCCTTAGTTCTAGAATTAGGTTACACTTGTGGTAGCGTTGCCGTTGGGACTAAGGTCTATGTGCTTGCTTAGTGAAGCCAGTACGGGCGTAGATTAGTCTATGTTAGCAGAGCCCACAGCTGGACAAGATCCCCTACATTCTGCTTATTGGCTCTTTCCTGCTAAGTGTTGCCTGCTAAGCAATTTGTATGTTCTTGAAAATTTCTCTTGTCTTAGTTGTTGAAAATTGTATTTCAAATAAGCCTCAGGTAAAGAAAAGCTTGTGGTGTAGTATGGCTGTCTTCATATCTTGTGAAGGGAAAGGGAATCTCCTTTGCTATTTTACATGCAATATTTTGTCTAATTTAACTCTGCTACTGAAAAATAAAAACAATAGCTACTGTCCAGGATAGGCTTTAAAAAGAGGAGGGGAAGGGGTGGGAGGGAGAGCCTGGAGAGAATGAAAAAGAAATACCATATATTTGAAAATGAATATTAGTCATGTATGAATCCTAATGCTCATATTTGAGCTAATATTGGTGTTTTGTGTGCATTGTTAAAATATAAATCATAGCTGTGGATAGAGCAGAAAACTAAATTCAGTGAACACTCATAAAAATTCTTCCTGTAATTTTCAGAAGCTTTGTTTTTAACTGGTTCATTTAAAATGTGGAATGAGTCTTTTAGCGGTAGCCCAAAGGCCAATTTAGTCACAAACAACTGGAGTATAATTTGCTTCCTGTGTTTTGTTAGTCAAGAGGTAGCAGAGAGGCACAATTCATACCTGCAGGAGAATAGTTTTTCCTTTACTGTATACATATTATGCTTAGAGTAATGCAAAATACCTGCTATAGATTTACATAACTCTTTTTTTGTTGTTGTTGCCATCAGTCTGGTTTCTCCTTCCCACCACTCCATGCCGCGGGAGGGCAGAGTGCCTTCAAAGCAGATAGAATATATAGTAACACACTAATTAAAGTAACATGCTAATTATACAAATGTAGCAGTTCTCTGTTACAGAGTCAATTATTTAGATGATACATTGATGAGTAAGATGGTAGTAGTTACAATTTAAGTAACATTGAATTTGCTTAACGTTCATTCCAGCCTGAAGATGACTGTCCACTGACTAGTACGTGCATTAAAGCAAGTAATGTGTAACTTGACAAATGTACCTTGTCATTATGGACTGTATAAAAATGTCTTCTATAATATAGAGGGCTGCAAGGTCAAAAGTAATACTGACAAATACATGCAAGTACTCTGTCATCTGGTGTGTCTGGGAGTTTTTGTCCCCCATACCTGTTATTATTTAGTAGAATAGTAGAATATGAATAAAAGTTCTTGATGTATACATGCCAGAGATACAGATACCCTAAGGAGCTGTTCAGTTGCTTATTGTTAGTGTGTAGGCATAGGTTCATCAGACGGCTTGCAAGAATTACTTGTATGATAAATGAGGTGTGCAAGAGCCTCAAAACTCTCTCCAGCAAATATTGTTAGAAGAAATACAGCAAAAGTGTAAAGCAAAAGCAAAAAATACAGCAATTTCAGCACATCAGTAGCCTCAGTAAAGAAGATTGTCTTCTCTCTGATAGGGTGAGGCCCTTAATATTATTAAGTCAAATTAATGTGTGCTTCTTGGAATGAAATTCCAGTAAAGTTCCCTTCAGGCTTTGCTCTAACCTGTGGACTTACATTATGGGAAAAATGTTATGGCTTTGCCAGGGCTAGATTCTGATAAGTACACTCAAGCCTGCTGGTCTGAACTTACAGATAATTTATCTGTATTTTCTGAGTTTTGGTAGTATTAAGTGTTCAAAAAAGCATCTTAAATTTCACTGGTTCTTAAAGTATCAGTACAGTTTTAGTTCTTAAATGTTACCTCTGCTTTTTAAATGAACTGCTCTAGTACTAGGAAAAAATCCCTTATATACAATCTTGCTGAAGCTGCAGGGGACTTCTTGCTGCCAGGAAATAGGGAGCAGAGTGGCTGGTCCTGCGTACACTGGCCCACAGTCCCCTCAGCTGCCAAGTGGGCTCTGAGAATCATTTTGACAGTATTTCAAATATATTTATTTATCATAACAACAGTATGTTCGCTGTGCTGTGTAGATCCTTGGTAAGTTAGTGTAACAGGTGTGGTTGTTGAATGATGTGCTCTTGTCCTTATAGTAATGCGTCAGTAGAGGCAAAGAAGAAACAGTAAATCTCACAATGAAAAATCAGCTTTGGATACTGCTTAGTGCTGCTGACTCCTTGGCTTGTATACTTCCATACTTAAGAGAGAGTTATAAAGATTGTGTAGTATTGCTATTTTTTTTGGCTAAAATTTTAATCTCATTTTTCAGGTAAGAGTATTTAATGAAATCAATTTATTTTGGCTGATTGTCTAATTCTTACCACTCAAACTACTACAGTGTTCTTAAAACATGAAGTCCATGTGAGTGTACTTCTCCCCTAGTGTGCTGTTAGACCAATATTAATAAGTCTTATATGGAAGACAATTTAAAAGTAGGTATAAAATTGCATGTGATCATTAATTAAATTAATACTTCCCCCCTAGGAATAAAATCTTACCATATAGAGATTTTTTTTTCCTGACAACCCTCATTTTGAAGGAAGTATGTACTGATAACTTGTATGGTTGCTCTGAAAATACTTTACTGTGTGAGCAGTAGGAAGTGGCAGAAGAGAACCTATATCCTATTTATAAAAAAAGACTATTTTACTAACAATTTTCATAATTATTTGGGAGCTTTTCATAATTATTCTGTATGGGGGGAAAAAAAGGACCTTTTCTGCTAGTAACAATCCTGATGGTTTCTACAGTCTGATTTGTACGTAGTCTGTAAAACTTCATCTTGAGTAAAGGTTTGCTTAGATAGAGGATTAAGTAAAATCAATACTCAAACCATGACAAAGGTGAGTATCTTAATTGTATAGGTATTCAAGTTCAAGTTTTTTTCTGTCAGAGTTTGTAGGGATGGCATGCTAGAGTTGCACAGCATATGGTTTTGCTGTCAGGGAGGTACTGTCTGTTTTCAGGAATATCATGCTTCAGTGTAAATCTTCTGCTTTTTCACCTGTCATAATTTCAACAAAAAATGAGTTTGAAGACATGTGGACTCCGAGAAATGCCCTTAAACTGTCTGTATTTTAAAGACATGCGTGTTTGGAAACACCTGTTTGGACTGAGGGGAGGAATGCTTATTCTTTTTCCTAACTTCCTAAGTTTAGAAAGTTTGAAATTTACAATTCATGCATTTTGGAATAGATCTTAGTAGTTTGTCTTATTTAAAGCTTGTGAAATTCTGTGTACTGTTGAGAATTGCAAGTTTTAATAATTAGGATGTTTATGTGACAGTTGCACTTAATGTTTCAATGTATACTACAGTGCTCTACTGACATATTACGTTTGAGAGGGGAAACTTTTTTTTTTTTTTAATAATGACAGCTCTTGAGAGAGATGACTTACACAAACCTTATTCCTCCTCTTTCCTTATTAGGAAATATAGATGAAGATGTTGTGGTGATTGAAGCATCCTCTACTCCCCAGGTCACTGCCAATGAAGAAATAAATGTTACCTCAACAGATAGCGAAGTGGAGATTGTCACAGTTGGTGAAAGCTACAGGTGAGGCTTGTTTGTGTTAATGCAATCTTACTGTGTTCAAGTTTTTCACAAGGATTTATATAATTAAAAGCCCCTAAGGTATTGTAACAGGGATTCTAACTACCATGCATACCAAACCTTGAAACTTCTACTTACCTGGAATTGAGGTGATTATCTTTAACATGACTGAGATGGTAGAATTTTAGGGAAGCAGATCTGTTCAGTCAGATACTGGAGATGAGAAATTTTAGGTTGGGTTGTTTATCTAGAGGTTAGCAGAGCTTGTCTATGCAAAGTATCTTAGTTTTTTGAATCATCTTTTGCTGCCACTGTGTGTATTTTCCCATTTTTCCATGCCTCTTGTGTACATTTTATTAAGTATGTTTGGTTTTTTTCAGAGTTCATTAGAGTGGAGTTTCTTGAAACAGACAATGCGAAAATTCCATATGTGTGAAATGTTAGGGATGCTTGTATATTAGATAAGTTTGCGGATGTGAGGACAGAATTGTAAAAAAACGAAGAGTTAAAATCCATTTGAGTAAACAATGACAAAGGAATTATGAGCAGTAGGTTGTAAAAGCGTTCCATCTGTTTGACATTAGCTAGCTTTCATTAGGGCAGTTTCTTATTTCAAAAATCAGGTCTGCTTGCAAAAAAAATAACTTTTTATTGGAATAAATAGCACTTCAGAACTAATTTCAAGATAACTGTGTGTATAATTTTCATGATTGCTTCTTCATAACACCTCTACTTTTTTTGAACTCTATGCAGGAAAGATGTCATACAAAAATATACAGCCTATGTTTGTAGCTAAACTTAGTGATAGTGATAGATGATGCCTTTTCTTTTAAGAAAACTTAAGCTGCAAAATCAATGGGGTACTCTGTCTGGAGAGGGTTAAAAAACATTCTGAAAACAGTTGAATTATCTACCTGAAGGGGGATGGGTGGGTGTGTGTGTGTTGAGAAAAGTCAGGTATGCTTGAGAAGATTTGAGCGATGTAAACTCTTCTGTCTGACAAAGTTTTACAGTCTTGTGTGGAGGTTTTTGTTTGTTTGTTTTTTTGTTTGGGTTTTTTTTTTGAATCAAAGGTCCTAAACATAAGTGATACTTCCAGATTGTCTTGAGGGTAGCAGTGATTGCCAGAAGAATAAATTGCACTTACGGATTTTGCAAAGCAATAGGTCTAGTCTGAGAGGATGTTGCTTGCTCGTTCTTCTCTATTATCAGAGATGGCAAATTACTTGTCTCTTTCTGATTGATTAGCATTGTGAGAATAAAATGCAAATACTTGATTCTTCTACTTGATTTCTGAATGGCTGCCAGTGAGGTGGAGTTGGTAGCCTGTCGAATCCATACTCAGTTGCATACCTGTAGAAACTTATTTTCTTTACATTGCACACACAGCATTTCCTGTAAGAAAATTACAAAAGTTTGTGTTGATCTCTTCTCCCATGTCTTTTATTTTCCCCACTTCCCTGTGCTCAGTCAAGAAGTTGGTATGTAGTGCTGATCTCTCTCTCTTTACCTTCTGCGTCTAGATAGGCTGTAGAGAGAAAGTAAACCACTGTGATAAAAACTAACTGCAGTCTCGAGCAGAAGTGTAGCAATTGGAATCATACCAGAACGATGAGATAGCATCTGCCAAACTGCTAGTGCCAGCCTTTCCTGGGAGTCCTCTTCTGGCTAAGAGAAGTTATTGCAGTCCAGCTTTGATTATTTTGTTTAAAGCTTAAAAGAGACATTTTAGCCAGGCATACTTTGCATTACTTCTAGAAATGAACTGCCACGGTCATTTTGAACGGGTATGGACTCCTCCAGTGACAGTTTACATGCCAGCACATAGCTAACATTCATTAGTCATTCATAAGTAAAATATTTTCGGAGTAATGTCCTGTTTCGTCATAACAAGGAAATACAGACCAAGACATATAACTTAAGACTGTCTTAATTCACTAGCCCTTTGTTTTTCAAGGAAATAACAGGACACATTCAATTTCAAAACAAGGAATTTTGGCAATAAAAGTTCGTATTAGGAGATGATTAGATTCTAATCATAGTTCCAGTGCCATTTTACTAGTGCCTTTTTGAAGGCACTAGGTGAATAAAACACTATAGAAATGTACTCTGAAGAAAAGTATATAGATGGGGTGAAGCGAGTCCAGGCAGAGTATGAGCTATGCTATGAGCTCCATGGAGATTTATATAGGGCGTGCACGCATTTGTGCTTGTTTTGAAGTCGTTCATATTTCTCTACTTTTTTTTTTTTTTTTTCCTCTTCTGAATTATTAAATTGTGAGGGTTTTTGATGGTTTTGTTTGTTTGTTTTTCCAGTTTGGAATATCAAGTCATTTGTTTTCTGGAAATTTATGGGCGTTTGTCCAAGTGTGAACTTGCATATATAATACTGTAAAATATTTTTCCATTAATAAAATACAGTGTCCTCTTAGCCCGAGCTCCAAAGTCGGCTTGAATGTTTAGCTTTGTATGACTAAATTGAATAAAATGGATGCTGAGAGTAATACTACAGAAACAAACCCATCCATTTCCTTATATATAGTACAAGCTTGTGTTTTCCTTTCCTTGGGTTACATTTCATTTTAAGTTTCATTAGTTTAAGCAGTATACAAAAATGTGTTTATTTTTAAGAAGGGGAAAAATAACATTCAAGAGAGGTTTTTTTGTTTGTTTTAATTCAGGTACAGGAATAAACCCCTGAATATATTCTGTCACAAGTAAGCATGCCAAAGGTCTTCATATTTACAAATCTTTGATCTTTATGCTCCAGTCATCATTAATGGTTCTCCTGTGTCACTGACTGCATAAAAATAGTGTAGGATTCAGAGACTCTTGTATCCTATTAACATATTAAAGCATAACATTAAATAATATCACTGTATGACTGCAACTGTGGGTTTTCGCATTGTGTTTTGTGTTGCTTCACCTAGGTTTGTTCATAGGTATAGAGAGAATAGCCTAGAGGCCTCGCTTTTGGATGTTTGATATTATTAGTATAACACAGCAGCAGTGTTTGTAAATACTCTCACAGGGAATGAGGACTAGTATGGTATTTGAACCTAAGAAAATGCTTTTCTAATGAAAATGAATTTTAAATAGCAGCAACTTCCAAATAACTTCAGGGACCAGGCAACTTCTTGATCGGTGAAAGCAAAATTTATGTCAGTGCTTAAGGTAATACTTTTTTTAAGGTCTCGTTCAACAGTTGGACACTCCAGATCACACTGGGGACAGAGCTCTGCTTCTCATGCTGCCCGGCCCCAGGAGCAGCGCAACCGCAGCAGGATTTCAACAGTCATACAGCCACTGAGACAAAATGCGGCAGAAGTAGTGGACCTTACAGTGGACGAAGATGGTAAGCTATAGTAATCTGGCAAATGTCTTTTTCTTTCTGAAGCAACAAGACCGAGCAGTGTAAGCAGAATTATTAGGATTTTAACATAGCTTGTTATTTATTTATTTTAAATCTCAGCTCTTAAAACAGAGGGTGGGCAGGAGGGGAAGGGGGCATGGGGATACTCTTAGCCTGTGAGAAAAATTTCATGTGTCTCTGTTGCTAAAATTAAAAGTCTACGCATTCCTAGTTGGTCTACTAACTTAATTTTTCTTCTAAAAGCTCGCTTGTGTGTATGTCTGAGGGCTGACTCACCAGACAGAAATTGCAGAAGAGGTTAGAACTACTTCTTTAGAAATATGTGATTATTTCAATACCACACTATAAAAGGCAAATGTTTCACTGCTGCATGTGCTTAGGAGTAATGTTCTTCCAAGTCTTGGAGTTGGTGGTGGTAGTAGTAAAAAAACAGGATACAACAACAAAAGAACTAGTAAAAGTATATTAGAAGTTTTCACTGTTTCCTAATGTTTAAACCTTTTGGCGCTTAGCTAATTTATTCCTGTTGAAAATCATAAGATCAATTTTCAGGTATTGTTGAAAGTTGAGAAGCTAAAAGCCACTGCCATTCACTAGGCCAAGTTCTTTGGCTATGTGTTACTTCCAATGTCTAATAGAAATTGTAGTTCCTTTGCTTTAGTGCATCACTAGCTCGTATCTTGCAATATCTCTTTATTTAAGATGGAAGAGAATATATTAATTAGAGATTCTTTTCATTATAGACCTGTTGTGCAATACAGCAACAGCAATACTATTGGACTGGAGGTTTCATTTATTGGTTTCATATACTTCTTTAAAATCAAATGGTAGAACTTAGTCTCCAATTTGGACATCAAATTCCTGTTTCAAAAAAGAAGATTCTTGATGGATAAAGGCTTATTTCTGAAATACATGCCTTTAAGACCAGCTGTTTTCTGCTACCTCTAGAGGACACATTTTTAGGATGAGTATTTTGGCTTTTCAAGAATATTGTCTTTATGAACACCAAATTTCAAAGACATTAATGCTGTCTCAGAAGGCAGCTAACACATATCATCATAGCTCTACTGGTATCTTCAGAAATTCTGCTTTTGAAAAGTTGCTGGCTGTTTAACTTAGCCTACAGGTCGCCTCTTTACAAATGTCCCTGAATTGAAGTGTCTGAAGTGTGCCGAAATCAACAGTTTCTCTTAGCCTGAGACTGACAGGTCCCACTGGCTTTTAAAAGGAAGGCTGCATTTGGGGGGAAATGGAATGGTCTCTATGGCTGATAAAACATCAAAACAATAACAGGCTAGCAGGGTGGTTCATAGAATTAAGAAATACCTGACCACAAGACTGCTTTCAGAATCTACTAGCTTCCTATCTTGAGCACTGTGTGATGACACATCAACTATGTTTAGGCTCTATATTCTATCTATATTTTCACTGTTTTCTTACTGAATTAAATTTTAGTAGATATCCCCAAAAATATTTTTCTTGAAATAAAACTGATTTATTGGAACACCGCATTAAAACCCAAAAGAATATACGCATAGGGATCATGCTACAGGCTTTATAATGCAGTGAGTTAGAAGACTGCAAAAAAGAAAATATGTTTATTCCCTTGCTTGCTGAGTTGCTGTTAAAGCTATTAGATTTAGAGAGAAATTTTTTTTGGGGGGAAAGCATCTTGCCTAGAGACTTTCAGTGTAAGAGAGAATTTTAAACGTCTTTACTCTTTTTTCTGTTATTCATGCAGACATTTCTACTGAAGAAATAGATCTTCCCTTTTATCTCCTATTCAAAGTCATGTCATTGCCTTGCCAGTAATTAGGAAGAAATTTCAAACTTAGAATCAAAAACAGGCTTTTTGAAAACTAAATTTGAATTATGCCACCAGGTATCTTTTTAAATATTAACCTGTTTACAGTCTGCAGGAGAGAGTGAACATTATCAAGGATCTGATATATTTCGCTCAATTGGATGAAATGTATTGCTATCTATTGTGTTGCATTATCTGCAAAATGAATTTGTATGCAGTTTTAATGAAGGTCTCAAATATCAATGCCTAATGTGTGTGTTGAGACTGGTGTTCCAGTCTCAACTCTAATTAATTTCTGTATTTTATACACATCAGGCTTTTGTGTTATGGCTTTCTCAGCCTCTGGCAAGATCAGAGTCCAGAATTTCTTGTAAGATATTTGAAAAACAAACAAACAAGCAAATTCCCCACCAAAATGAGAGCTTTCAAAGAACATGTAATCTTTTTGTTTTGCTAGAGCCAGCAGTTGTTCCAACCACCTCAACCAGAGTGGAGTCCCAGGCTGTGAGTTCAGCTTCCAGTACCAGTTCTAATACGTTGTCTACCTCAGAGCCGGCCCCTGATGCAGCTCCGATCGTCTCCAGCAGCCAGCCCCCCTCCTCAGCACCCGAGACTTCGACTAGTCTTCCCAACAGCAGCACTGCTGGTACTTCAGCTGGAGGTAGAGAGAGCCTTCTAAAATTGTCTCACTGCCCACTAATTAATACCATAAAAGAGGAAGAGAAAACTGATCAGGCTTCTCCAGTTAAAATGCCTGTGAGCTTTTAGAGCTGAACGTATCAGCAGTAAGTTCACATTGGTCAGACTTGCTGTATAAAGGTGAGTATCTGAATAAAGTCTCCTCAAAGATAAATGAGGTAATGGAGGAGCCTCCTTCTGCTCTCACCTGTCAGGATGGTTCAATTATACCTAATGGACCACATTCTTTTTGAAGAGGTAGAATATAGTAGGTAGGATGCTGGAGTCATTTACTGGGAATTAAGTCTTCCCCTGTAATGCGTTTGTATGTTTTGGGGTTTTTGTGTTTTTCTTTTTGGGGGGTTGATTTTGTTTGTTTTTAAATATGAGTCATAGGAAACTGAGGGATGATAATATATAGATAGATTCTTTGTAGATTTTTTTGTAGAGCTATATATACAGGTCAGCATAATCACTGGGCTTTGTTAAAGTGAGATTTGCTTCTTGCAGTATTGATAACAGAAGAAGATCTGTTAAGTGCAAAGAGAAGTATCTGGACCCTGTTAGGGATGAGTTGCTTAAGGTCAAAGTTGAAGGTTTGAGGAAAAGACTAGATCTCTCTAAAAAAGTAACTCCCCACCACCAGTCCTATCCCAGCAACCACTTAAAATAGAATAAATTCTTGGAGGTGAGGACTGTTAGGGTAACTGTCCCGCCCCTTACATTCTAATTGTGGTGTTGGGGTATCTCACAATGTCTCTGAATCATGGGCATTCTGCCCCTTCCTGCAGGTTAAATGAGATGCTAAAGAACAAACCAAAAAATTGCAAAACACACGCACCTAAATGACTACCTTTGCACGTGAATTTGAAGACGAAGTTTGAGATGAGGTCTCTGCACACTAGTCACAGGGACAATTTTTCATCTTTGCTAATAAGTGTCTCAAATTAGTGGAATAATAAGGCAAGACTTTCTCCAATAGGGCTCATGAGTATATCCATCTGAACCCCTCAGTTTTAGTTCATTTGCAGGTGTAGCCAAATCTTTTTTTGTATCCAGTTTATATCCATTTTAGTTTAGATTTGTTTTTTCGAACTGTTGATTGTTTAGTCATTTTTTTTATTTCAGACTGTTTTACAGTAATCAGCTTACTAATGTGTCTTTTTGACATTAATTTTGTTTAATTTCAAGATGATGTAAGAAGAGCTGCATCTAATACAACACTGGAAACTGGCCCTCCTGCTATGCCAAGATTACCATCGTGCTGCCCTCAACACTCTCCATGTGGAGGACCTTCACAGAATCATCATGCCTTGGGACACCCCCATACAAGCTGCTTTCAGCAGCACAGCCACCACTTTCAACACCACCACCACCATCATCACAACCCTCACCCAGCTGTTCCACTGTCTCCTTCATTCAGTGACTCCAGCTGCCCTGTGGAAAGGCCTCCTCCAGTGCCTGCACCTTGTGGAGCAAGCAGCAGCTCTGGCAGCAGTTACCATGATCAGGCATGTTTAACTTTTGTGACTCTCCCTTTGCATTTTCAAGTCATGTTATAGAGATGGGAGAAGAGATTAGGATGCTGAATCGTGTGGGATTTTCTTATTTTCTCTAGCAGGTGTTATGAAAGAAAATTGAAAGGGAAATTTAAAACATGATGCACAAAAATGAACAAAAAGTCATAACTCAGTAAATAACCATTTGCAATTGCTCCTCCTCCTGCTAACTGTAAGATTATAGTGACTACTTAATCAAAGCAAATATTAACCCTTCAGAATATACTCCGTAGATTGTAAAGCAGCTGAATGATTTGCAAAACTGCTAAATAAAGAAAAACTCAAGTCCAGCTTTCTGTTTCTAAAATTGTAAGAGTTGGTTTTTAAAAAAACAAAAAAACCCACACTTTTTTTTTTTTTTGTAACTAAAATCACAGTTCTAAGATGGTATGGTTAATCTAAGAACAGTACTGTGCAACTTTATTGGCAACATACAGTTTAAACATTCCAACTTCATAGTTCTGTAACACGTTAGGCTCAACAAAACAAAATGCTAAAGCTTCTTGTTTACTTCTAAATAATTGAATGAATGCTGCTGTCATACTGACCAATATATCCAAAATTGTTTCGGATGCAATATAGTGTAATTGACTTAATCTCTTTCTCCAGATTGAGTGATTTAGGAAAAAGAAATGTTAACTATACCTTAAGAATGTACCAGAACAAAGCCTTAAAACTAAAAACTGAAGGAAAAAAAAAGTTCCTGGTCACTTGTGATAGTTTAGTTTTTATAATGGTATATTTAAAGGTGACTTTGTCAATGTCTGAAGAACTGCTTCAGAACAGATTGTTTGTTTACACAGCAGGCCTTGCCAGTAGACTTAAGCAGCAGTGGTATAAGAAGTCATGGAAGTGGTGCTTTTCATGGGACATCTGCTTTTGACCCCTGCTGTCCTGGCTCTTCATCTCGAACTGCAATTTATGGGCATCAGGCTGGTGCTGGACCAAGCCAGTCCCTGACAATTGATGGGTATGGATCGAGTATCGTTGCGCAGCCGCAGCCACAGCCTCCTCCCCAGGCATCGCTCTCCTCCTGTCGACACTACATGCATTCTCCTTGTAAGTACTGCTGTTCTAACGATAAGTACTGAGTACCTAGGTGTGGGGGGCAAACACAAAAATGGCTTCCCTGACACTATGTGAAGACTTATTATCCATTTGGTTCAGTCTTAAGAATGGTCCTAACAAAACAAATGCTAAGAAATGTAAGAAATATATTTAAACAATTCAGCTCTGTTTATCAAGGAATTAAATGGAATCAATCTAAGATTTTTTTTTTGTTTAACCTAATTCAAGAAGAACTTCTACCACTTGCCACTCAGAGACATCTGAAAGGAAAAGGTATATATATTGCTGTGTGAACTAGTATGTTGGGAACAGATCTGAGACCTGACTTTGGCTTACCTAGCCATTGTGATGGTGAGAAGACATTTTTTACTTTATTGGATGCATTTGAACTCAAGCACGCCTATTTCCAGAAAACTTTGTCCTTTTCTTTGGAATTGTTTTAATTATGCAGTTCTGATATGTACATATTCAACTCTGCTGTCTCCTGTTGTTATTTGATAAGCAACCTCCTAGATTCTTATAGATACTTTCTCTGTTGTTTGCTAAGGAAATATTTTTCATATCCTTTGTATTTTTAGTAATGTCTCTTTTTCTTTTTTTTTTTTTTTTTTTTTTTCCTTTTTTGAGTTGCGCTTGAGCAGGCTCAAGAAACCAACTAATTAAGTTTATTATATGATTGTGATTTTACTTTATGTTATTGTGTCCTACAGAATTCAGCTTATGTTTTTTCAAGTCTGTAAAACTCCCTTCTAGCCCCAGGAGCCAGATTCCTTTACTTAGTATATTTAGAACCTGAAGTTGAATGAAACTGCTAGGAAGGTATAGGATTTTTTTCTTTCCTTCTTGGATTCTCAGTTTTCTTAAGGAAGCTTTTTTTGATGGTTTGTTTTGATTCTCAAGAGGTGTCTAGATTAATTTTGTGACTATGGTGGTTACACACTACACAAACCTGAAAAGGGACTTCTCACCACATATCTCCTTAAGCATGCATCTCACAGCTTTTTCTTTTCTCACCAATATTAGCAATTGGAGTAGTTTGTGCTGTTGGAAATTTGTGCTTCTTTTGGGGCATACTATTGAAATCTTTGAGTAGTTCTGTAATATTACAAGCTAAGAAGTTGAGTGTTTTTGTAATATTCCTATGTTACCACTGTTTTCGTTGGTGCAATAAGTCTGACACACCTGTGTGAATATGCTTTTCCCCCACCCTCTTCTCCCTTTAAAACATATTTAATCCAGAAAACTGCTACTGACCAGATTAAAAGCACCTGACGTTTTCATTGCAGATGCTTCTTTGACCAGACCTCTTCACCATCAAGCTTCTGCATGTCCCCACTCTCATGGAAATCCTCCTCCACAGCCACAACCTCCTCCTCAAGTAGATTATGTTATTCCTCATCCAGTGCATCCCTTCCATCCTTCAATCTCTTCTCATGCATCTTCTCATCCTGTTCCACCTCCACCTCCACCACCAACTCATCCTTTAGCCAATGCAGCTGCTCCAATTCCACAGCATCTTCCAGCTACACACCAGCCTATATCCCATCACATCCCTGCAACAGCACCTCCAGCACAGAGGCTACATCCTCACGAAGTGATCCAGAGGATGGAGGTCCAGAGAAGAAGAATGATGCAGCACCCAACGTATGTCACAAATGTACTCAGAGCAGTATCTAAACATTTAGTTCATTTCCTTCAGGTTTGTAAAATACTGCATGTGAATCTCAAATTGTAATTGCATGGTTAGGAGCTGTTAGAGTTAAACCATGGTAAGAATTGTCTTTACATAACATCACAGCTGAGTGAGACCTAAGACGGAACCTGTTCCTTCTCTCAGCAGTGCCTTCAGGTAAGGCAAGAGATGCCGTGGGGTGTGGGAGAGGTGTGAAGCTTATGCTTTCTCTTTCATTAAATTTTCTGCCAGAGAACCGGCAGGGATTACTTTTCAAGTTTGCTTAGAAAGTAAGTCACAAGCTTGCTTACTTCTCCTGAATTTGTTCCTTGAAAGTGTATTTTGCCTTGTACTATTAAGATCCTTTTCACATAATTAAAGTTTTAAAATGACTTCTCAGGACAGATGGCTTACCAGGTCTTATAAAGATTGAACCTTAGCTTTGTTGTGCTTTTGTTTTTAGAAGTGGGGAGTAGGAAGAAAGTGAATAAAATCTATAAGAATGTGACCAATGTTGAGACGTAGCTTTGATACTGTAAAGGGATACAGATTATATTATAGTCAACAGTGATCAGGTTACTACTGGGTTGGATTTGACCACAAAGTATTTTAAATTAATTTAATTCTGGAGACAATGCTCAAGAATTTCAAGAAAGAGCTCTCCAGTTGTTGCTCTTAACTTGGTTATACAGATTCTACTAGTAACTAATTTACAGTGGATTTAAAGGTTAATGCTTAAACAAAAGCTTTCCTTAACTTTTGAGACAGTTTATATGCAGTAACTCTTCTCCCTTCTAGAAAGAGGTTGCAGAGCATACATCTAGTTCTTTTTGAAGATGCTGCATTTTTAAGAGTCTGATCACAAAACTACAGATGACATGCTCTTTCTAGGAAAGAAGTGGAATCCTTTGTTATGAAAATTTAGGTTTAGTTGAATCTGTTCTTTTTTTTCATCTTTGCTGTGGAAATGTTATAACTGCTAAGTATGTTAATCTATACGCAGCCTCAATGCACAGGCGCTTGTGTTTGTGACTACACAGTCATACCCCAGAATTAATTTTGGAAGCTAGAACATTCAAGCATCTAAAAGTGGAAGAAATTTTAAGGAAAAATAGTGTCAACTGCCCTCTCATCAGTTCTGGTAGCGTTCTGATAATGCGGGAGAATGCTGTTATTTATGGCATTTCTTTGCCTCATGGTGTGTGTGTGTGGTGGTTTGGGGTTTTTGGGGTTATGCTGCTAATAAGTTGTTCCTTGATCTCTCTCTGAGATCATCCGTCTCAGGTAGTGTAAGTTCTTTGTTCCTCAGTGGGCTTTTTCCCTAAAGGCTTGTTTTATAATCCTCTGGAACTTATTCATCCCCTGTCTTCTCTTTTCCTCTGATACTCATTCAAATTACATGCAAAACCAGTTTTGCAAGTGTTTTGACCCAACTCGATATAAACTATATCATATTCTTAGAAGCAGAAATTTGAGTTTTTCAGTCTGTTGCAGAAAAGACAGGTTGAGATTTCTCTTTACACTTTATTTACAGTATCCTGGACGTGGTCAGGACACTTAGCATTTCACAGATTCCTTGTCCCAGCATCTTGAAGAGTTCTTCTGATGTTGTATCATCCTGCATTTCTAGAATTACTGTGGGATATTCATGGTCTCGTGTAACTTCTCAGGACTTTCTCGGGATTGCAGACTGAGAATGGATAGAGCAATTTTCTCACTGTAGTGTCAGAAGTGTTGATACAGCAGTTGAGGCTTCCTTTGGATCAGACAAAGCGTGCAGAAGTGAGCGTGTGCAGCTGCACTGCATTTTTATAAAATATAGGTTTTTTGTTTGTGTAAATTTGGTCATTCACCTTATGGTAAGATTGTGGGCTAGATGGCCCAGGAGTCTTGCACGATAAAAGCAAATTCAACTAAGTTTCTTTCTATCTAAGGTTCAGCTGAATATGTATTCTCATTTTGAGAGAAGGGGGCCTACATGCCATTGAGCTTTTACCAAAGGAACCGTGGAAGGCCTTTGGTTATGTTCATTTCTTTGGATACGTTGCTCCAGACTTTTTTTCTACTTTGAAAGATTTTTTTTCCTTTTTTTTTTTTTTTTTCTTCTAATTTGAAAGTCCGAAGAGAGGCAGGACCTTTTCAGTCCTCCTGTCTGCATGTCTGGCAGGGCAGGCCAGATTACAGTAGACGAAGCAGTTTGCAGCAATTTTCAGTGCATCACCATATATGAAACTACATGGTCCATTTCATGTTTGAATATTAAGTATGTATTATAGCTAACTTCCAATTTATCTCTAAAGCTGAAATTAAAATACTGTATGGGGCTGTTTCATTTTGGATTGCTTCCAGTAATTCAGACAGTAACAGTTTGTATACAAATATTACTTTCTCAATCCTAACTCATAGGTGAAGTTAACTGTTGCTGTTTTGTATTCTTTAGACGTGCTCACGAACGGCCTCCTCCACATCCTCACAGAATGCATCCCAATTATGGTCACGGGCATCATATTCATGTGCCTCAGACAATGTCTTCCCATCCTCGACAAGCTCCAGAGAGGTCTGCCTGGTCAGTAAGCAGATACTGTTTTAGTGTGGTTTTGGTTTTGTTTGTTTT